TGTTTGTGTGTGCGTGTGTTCCAGTATAACTCTGGAACGCCTTGAACAATTTCAACCAAACTTGGTACACAGGTAACTTACTCTCTGGAAACAAATACTGGGGGGTGGGGGTGGGGGTGGGTAAGAGGTGGGTTGCTCCCGGTTCGGCCCAGATCGGGCGAAACGGAAGTAGTGGCGGTGGGAGGCTCCCCCCACCCGCCCGGACGATTCTGCGCATAAGCGTCGCGCGGCCAAAGTTTTCCAGCATAACTGTGGAATGCCTCGAGCAATTTCAACCAAATTTACTCTCTGGAGAAAAATATTGTGGGGGTTAAGATACCCCTAACACCCCTCGGGTGGGTGTTCTGTTCAGATACAGCTTGTTGTGTCTTAAAATGGCTTCTACTGTGCAGTGGAGTTGCCATGGTAACAGCTTCACAGTACTCTACAAGGGGGCTCTCTCTGGTAAGGGGGGAAATCCAACATTAGAAATTACGTTTGGTCCACACATTTCCCCCCCCCCCTAAATAAATACGCCGGCAACACTGAGTTATCAGCTAGTAAATGATAAAATCGGCTCTTTCTCTCAGCCCAGCCCACCTCGCAGGGTTATTGTCAAGACGAAAACAGAAGGAGGGAGGAGGGTTAGGGACATTTCCCCCCAACCCCTTGAATTACTTACAAAGTACAGGTAGTCCTCAACTTACAACAGTTCATTTAGTGACCATCTGAAGATACACCAGCACTAAAAAAAAGTGACTTAGGGCTGTTTTTCACACTTACGACCGTTGCACCATCCCCCATGGTCATGCGATCAAAATTCAGACCCCTGGCAACTGACTGATACTTACGACGGTGGCAGTGTCTCAGGGTCACCTGACAAGGAAAGCTAAATGGGGGAAGCCCGATTCACTTAACAACCACGTTCCTAACTTAACAGCTGTAGTGATTCCCTTTAAGGACGGTGGCAAGAAAGGTCGTAACGTGGGGCAAACCTCAATAAATTTATCACTTAGCAACATAAATGTCGGTCTCAATTTTGGTCCTAGCTTGAGGACTACCTGTAATAAGGTCAGGATAAACATATAATAATAATAATAAATAAATAATAATAACTAACAACAGCAACAAGAACAATGATAATGATGATAATAACAACAGCAACAAGAATGATAGTAACACTACCACTACTAATAAAAAAATTATGATTTTATGATTAAATATTTATTTAATATTTAATAAAATAAATTGTGTTTATTATATTTTATTATTATTATATTTGTAATACATTTTAAAATGTGCAGTTGACTGAGTTTCATGTTTAATGAATAAAATATAATTTTAATCATCTTATAATATGTAATATAATGCAATGTAACGTAATGTAACATAGTATATATAATAATAATATATAATAATTTTTTAATTTTAAGAAGATACTTGGTTGATGATACCTAGGATGCTGGCAGCAATCCATATCAACAATATCAACTGCCAGTCAAAATGTATTTGTGATATTTTTAAATGTTCAGTTGACTGAGTTTCCTGTTTAATGAATAAAGTATATAATAATGATGATGATCATGATGATGATGATAATAATAATAGTAATAATAATAATATTTTAACACCCCATTTTTAATACTTTTTAAAATGTTCAGTTGACTGAGTTTCCTGTTTAATGAATAAAGTATATAATAATGATGATCATGATGATGATGATAATAATAATAGTAATAATAATAATATTTTAACACCCCATTTTGAATACTTTTTAAAATGTTCAGTTTCCTGTTTCCTGAATATTAATATTAATAATAGTAGTAATAATAATAGTAATAATAATATTTTAACACCCCATTTAAATACTTTTTAAAATGATCAGTTAACTGAACTTCATGTTTAACGAATAAAGTATATAATAAAAACAACAATAACAATAATATTTTAACACCCCATTTTCAATACTTTTTAAAACGATCAGTTGACTTGAGTTTTCTTTTTAATGAATAAAGGATAAAATAATCCTAATAATAATATTTTAACACCACATTTCCAATACTTTTTAAAATGATCAGTTGACTTGAGTTTTCTTTTTAATGAATAAAGGATANCAATGCAAGCTCACTCTCACACATTCAGAGGCTAAAAAATGGCCGACGGATGGGTGGAGCTTCGGTAATATTCGGTCTATAAGACAGACATTTTCACCCCATTTTGGGAGGCAAAAAGGTTTGTCTTATAGTCCAAAAAATACGGTAATTGTCCTCACTTTTAGGAAGATTCTTCTTAATTGCTTCTCTCCTTGATTAATTTCAATCATAATAAGAGCTGGATGGGACCTTGGAGGTCTTCTAGTCCAGCCCCCTGCTCAAGCAGGAGACCTATAACGTTTTAGACAAGGGACTGTGCAGTCCCTTCCTAAAAACTTCCAACAACTTCTAGTGGCAAGCTGTTCCACTGGTGAATTGTCCTCGCTGTTAGGAAGCTTCTTCTTAATTCCACGTTGCTTCTCTCCTTGTTTAGTTTCCATCTATTGCTTCTTGTCCTGCCTGAATGTGCTTTGGAGGATAATTTGACCTCTTCCTCTTTGTGGAAGCCCCTCAAATCCCAGAACCCCCTAGTCCATCTTTTCTCCAGACTAGCCAAACCCAAATTCTGCAACCGTTCGTCGTATATTTTTTGTCTCCGGGAATTTAAACATCTTACTTGCTCTTCTTTGTGCTTTTTAAAATTAAATTAATTTGGGGTTCAATGAATCCAAGATCTACAGCTAGTCCTCGGCTTACGACCTAAAGGGAGCCTAAAATGTTTGTCGCCAAGAAAGATAATTGTTCAGGGAACTTTGATCCATTTTACAAGCCTTTCTTGCCCACAGCTGCTCGGTGAATCACTGCCTTTGTTAAGCGAGTCACACGGTTGTTATGTGAATCTGACTTCCCCGTTGGCTTGTCAGAAGGTTGCAGAAAGAGACATGGCCACCGTCATACAGAGGAGCCGGTTTTCTGAGGGTCTGAATTTTGATCCCATGACCATAACGGGTCAGAAGTGTGAAAAATGTTCATCGGTCGCTTTCTTTGGTGGTGGTGTAACTTCGGTCATTAAATGAACTGTTGTTAAGTTGAGGACTCTTCTCTACTAGGAAGCCTGTAGAACAGTGTTACCTGATCTCGGCCCCTTGATGATCGGTGGACTTCAAGTCCCAGAATTCCCCAGCCAGCTCTCCCCCCCCCCCAAGATATATTATGTTTACTGCAGTGCATACCCACCATCTATTAAGAAAGTTACCCACCATGGCTGGCTGGGGAATTCTGGGAAGTCCGCACATTGGAAAGTTCCCAAGGTTGGAGACCCCTGATTTAAGACTTGTGGACTTCAACTCCCAGAATTCCCCAGCCAGCTCTTTTTTTCCTGCAGTTTGTTGAAGTCAAGATATATTACGCTTACTGCATACCCACTATCTATTAAGAAATTTACCTTACATGGCTGGCTGGGGAATTCTGGAAGTCCACAAGTCTTCAAGTGGCCAAGGTTGGAGACCCCCGATTTAAGTCTTATGGACTTCAACTCCCAGAATTCCCCAGCCAGCTCTTTTTTCCCCCTTCACTTTGCCGAAGTCAAAGATATATTACGCTTCCTGCATACCCACCGTCTATTAAGAAAGTTACCCTCGTGGCTGGCTGGGGAATTCTGGGAATTGAAGTCCACAAATCTTAAAGTTGCTAAAGTTGGAGACCTCTGATTTAAGACTTGTGGACTTCAACTCCCAGAATTCCCCAGCCAGCTCTTCTTCTTTTTTTCACTTTTCTGAAGTCAAGATATATTATGCTTACTGCATACCCACCATCTATGAAGAAAGTTATCCTATGCAGCTGGCTGGGGAATTCTGGGAGTTG